TATGACTCCAAATTTTTGCGCCAAGTTGATTGAGGATCGTGAATAGACCACCCAAGTTCATTTTCTAGCCCTTATAAACCCTCGAATGCATCCCACAATCATCATTCATCCCATATTAATCCATTAGTTCATAACTAGTTTTTATTATTTAAAAAAAACTAGTTTTTATAGTTTTTCTTTTTTCTTCACAGTATCTTAAGGTGTTGAAGCCCATTTCTTTCAACCATTGATTGGGTTTCCAATATCTTAATTACTCAGATTAAACTATACTCCCAAAATTGGGTTTCCAAATTATCATCCTACAAGTATGGTATGGTGGAAGATTTTCTTTATGAGGAAAAGCAGATACCCAGGACTATTTGTCATTTAGGACTACATTTTTTTAAATCCCCCCAATAGGACTATTTATGTGTTTTTGGACAAGTATACCCTTGTAACTTTTGAAATGTTCTAATAAATAATAAGATCATAAAAAAATCATAACAAATAATAAAAATCGTACAAAAATAATAAAATAATAATAAAATATTTATAAAATAAAAATCTTAGGGCATGTTTACTAACAGAGATATTTTCCTGTTTTCTACTTCTGTTTTTCGTTCTCCAATTTTCTGTTTTTATTTTTCAGTTTTTCTATCTCCAATTTTCTGTTTCTATTTTTTAGTTTTCCATTTTCAAATTTGAAAACATGTTCATCATTTTTTTCACACAGTTCTCCAATTCCACACCCTTGACCCCTACCTCTACCCTTACCACGATCTTACACTCTACTCATACTCCACCACAACCCTTCATACCCACCCATACCTACTCGTAGGGGTCGGGGTAAGGAAGTTATGGGTGGGGTGGGGTAAGGGGTATGGTCGGGGTGGGGTGGTAAGGTCTAGGGGTTGGGGGTTGGGGGTTGGGTAGGGGTAGTGGGTGGGTTAGGGTCGTGGTTAGGGTTAAGGGTGGGGTAGTGGATAGGGTAGGGGTAAGGTAGGGGTAGGGTAGGGAGTTGGGATAGGATGGCGGTAGGGTGGGGTCGGGACCAGGGTGGGGCCCGGGGTAGGTGGGGGGGGGTAGGATGGCGGTAAGGGTGGGGTAGTGGGTAGGGTTTGGGGTTGGGGTAAGGTAGGGGTATGGTAGGGAGTTGGGATAGGATGGCAGTAGGGTGGGGTCGGGACCAGGGTGGGGCCGGGGTAGGGTGGGGGGGTAGGATGGCGGTGGGGGTAATGGGTAAGGTTTGGGGTTGGAGTAAGGTAGGGGTAGGGTAGGGAGTTGGGATAGGATGGCGGTAGGGTGGGCCCGGGATCCGGGTGGGGTCGAGGTAGGGTAGGGTGGGGTGGGGGTAGGATGGCGGTGGGGTGGAGCTGAGGTAAGAGGCATGTGGTAAGGGGTAAGGTAGGGGTAAGTGGTAATATACGAGGGGTGGGGGTAGGGTAGGGTGGGTCGGGGTGGGGTCGAGGTGGTAGGGGGTGGCGGTAGGGTAGGGTGGATCGAGGTGGGGTCGAGGTGGTAGGGGGTGGCAGTAGGGTAGGGTGGATCGTGGTGGGGCCGAGGTCGGGGCATGTGGTGGGGGGTGGGGTAAGGTCATTATAGGGAAAAATGGGTACGCGGGGTGGGGGTTTGGTGGGTAGGGTAGGGTATGGGTAAGGGGTAAGGTATGAGGATGGAGGTACCAGAATGGAATCGACATCGGAGCGGGACCGGACCCACCACTAGGTGTAAGTATGAAAATTCATTGCAAAGGCACTGTAGCATCTGCATTTTCCAAAATTGGAAAACTAGTAAAAGTCACTTCTCCAAATCATTAAGGAAAAGAGAGACATGTTTCATTTTTTCCGTTTTGGAAAACGATTTGATAAACGCGTTTTTCTTTTTTGCTTTCTCCAGTTTTCCAGGAATTTCTTTGGTAAACACATTTCCTGTTTTCTGTTTACCAGTTTTCCAGTTTTCTGGAAAACTGAAAAATATTTCTGTTATTAAACAGGCCCTTACTTTTTTAAAATTAAAACAAATGTAAAAAAACATCGCCGCCTCTTCCACCCCCAGCACCACCAGCTCCCATCATCAGAGGAAATCTGCCAACATTTTTAGTAATGCCATAATGATGGCAAATTCAATGGAAATTTTGGCATAATGAAGGGTAAAAATGCCATCTTCTTGGCATTTTCACAAATGGCGGTCAAAACTTTCACCGCTAAAAGTGGCAAAACTTTCACCGATCGGAGGTGGTGGTGCTGGGAGGCGGTGGGAAAAGTATCAATATTTTTTTATAGGTTTTTACAAATTTTATGTTTTTATTTTTTTTTAAATCTTTTTTTATAAGTATTTCATTAATTTTATTATTTTCTTACGATTTTTTATTATTCTTTACAATTTTTATTTTTTTTATGATTTTTATTATGAATCAAAACATTTCATAATGAATTAATACCCTTAGGGGTATTTAGGATAGAAAATCAATGTTTAGTCCTATTTGTGGAATTTAAAAAGTAGTAGTCCTATTTGTGCTTTTTAGGGACACATTAGTCCTATTTAGGACAATAGCTAATTGTATTTTGAGAATGTATGCTTTCTCCCAAGAGGTCTTGGTCTAGTTCTCCTCTTGATTAGTACTTCCTTTATCTTAATTTAATAAAACTTTTATCTTAATTTAATAAAACTCGGTAAATGTTCCCCGACATTTACCCCATCACAGGGTGGTTTACCTACAGCGCTTAAAAAACACACACTAGGCCAACACCATTGTCCATATAAGTCCTCTCTGCCTGTGACACCTCGTCTAGCACGAGGCCTTCAATCCTTCACTCAAGGAAAGGGAACAACGACGAAGATGTTTCCTAGCACCTCGTCCTATGACACCTCGTCCAACAGGATAGAACTACTCAGCAGATTGTCAAAATGCGCCGCACGTCGCTCTTTGCTTCATAGTTGGGCTCTCTCTCATAGACTAATTTACATGTGTTACGTGTACATGCATTTAATGTAACTACCATTTATTATCAGATATTTCTCTCTCTAGTTCGTATGTCTCTCTTCTCTCTACAATACCACTAAGGTGAACCATGACACTATTTTCATATCGAGAGGGTGCATTTATGAGTTTTTAGACTCTACAAGGATAGAGAAAGCCTAAATTTTAATAAGTTGTACTCCCTCCGTCCCGAATTGAATTGTGAATTTTGACCGGCACAAGGATTAATGAATGACAGTAAATGATGTTTGTCTTCTACACTTTTGTCCATCATCCTAAAAGTAGATGGAAAAAGGTAAAAGTAGGGGTAAATTTATCACTTTATCCTTATTTACATATCTAAAATAGAAAGTGGAAAAATATTTTGAGACAACCAAAATAGCAAATTTTACAAAATAAATTGGAATGGAGGGAGTATTTATTTTTGCCGCCCATTTGAACAAACGAACCCTTATTAACTCTTTTTTTTTGTTTGCATGATGGCATATTGGCAGGATTTCGATAGGTATTGGGATGCAGTGATGCACTGCCACTAATCATCATCCTCGAACCGCGCAACTCCCCATTCCAGGGCAATAATCCTCGTGTTCCCTACTACCCATTCAAGGGCAACTCCCCATTTGGCCAAAATCCCAAATTTGAAGTGTTCAGTATAGATACGGAGTATTTTTTAATAAGGTATTCCGTGTTCACTATAGATGTAACCTAAGATTGGTTGTGACCTAAGGATTGATAAAAAAAATCTTACCCAAAAAAGTAGACACTTTTCTTGTTCATTTCTCTTATTTGTCTATGGAAACTATCGACTCGTTTTACAAAAATAACTATTGTCCATATGCACAAACGAATGTATCATAAGTGTACGCTTTTTGTGTACGCCGATAATGGTTCGGTTGAAAAAACCATCTTTGAGTTGGTTGTCCTAATGGGTGCTACAACCAGCAATCCAAGATAATAAAAAAATGTACAAAGTATACGTACATATATATATATATACACATATATATATGGAGGTCTTAAGGTAATCACAATTCTTCTCGTTAATAAATTAAATTTCCTACCGGCTTATATGTATTACTCGGTCCATTCAGTTTTTTCCTGCAATCTAACTCCTCCCGCTGCCTATCTACTGCCCAATCTCATTTTTTTTTTGTTATTTTCATTCTCTCTTTTAGTTATTGTTTTCTCCTAAATTGTATTCTTAAATGTATCTCTTTTTCGTTCCTCATTTCCTTTTTCATTTTTCTTTTCTTTTACTTCCCCTTTTCATTATGGTGCTACTATAACTTTTTAATAAATTTAGAGTATATATATTGCATGTGCAAGTTTCTGGTACTTATCTCACACTCCTTCAAAGTTTGAGATATTTAAATTATCTCTCCTTTTAAATTCAACCCTTTTCAATCCCGTGTCCCATATGAGACCACAACCGACTTAAACATATCTTATCAGATAAGATCACACTTAAGCAGATCAGATCTTATATTTATATAATGGCAAAATATACATACACCAAATGTTTACTAGATTAGAGTAGACACGGTTTAAATAGACCGACCAAGTCTTATACGGACCAAAAAATTGATCAGAAATGTTCAATAATTTTTATAGACAAACAATATTTGGCATATAAATAGTTTCAAACGAGGCAAAACAGTTGTGTAATTATGTAAACACTTTTAATATTTTCCGAACAGATAAATTTTGTAGTAAAGTTAAGCTATAGAAAAAAATGTCAGAAGAACACATCAGCTTTTAAAGAGTTTTGCTATAGGTACCCCCAAAATGGGGTACCCCATTTGTCCCCCACCCTATTGGGTGGCCACAAATGAGCCAACCCATTTAAGTGGTGCCCCACTTAAATGAGTTGCCTCATTTGTGGCCACCCAATAGGGTGGGGGACAAATGGGGGTACCCATTTTGGGGTACCAATAGCTTTTTTTCGCTTTTAAAATCACCATAGACGGACTAAAATGGTCAAGAAACATTAAGTGCGGTAGATTTTGAAAGTGTGTAGGAAAGTGTGATTTTTTATTGCGTATAAAGTTACTGTATTAATCGTGTCAAAGTTATAAAAATTAACGGTATTAATTAAAAGGGAGGATTACATTTCAGTTTATATGAGTGTTGGGATATATTATCCCGGCCTATTACTGTTCATGAGTCCAAGGCTTTACGTAGTACGGAGCCCGAGCAGCTAGGCCCATTTCGGCCCATCCGGCCCACTTTAGCCATTTGGGCCCACTCCGGCCCATGCGGCCCATTAGGGTGGAGAGCATCCCCTTCCCCTATTCTCTATAAATATAGGAGTTTCCCTCCATATTATGGATCCTTTTCTTCTTCCTCCTTCTCACTAGAATAGCTTAGAACTCCATTAATGGGAGCTTCAATACTTGTACTATGTAATGGTGAGGAGAGTCCTAATGAGAATGAGAGGGCTTGGACATTAGCCTAAAAAGTCCCGTGGTTTTCTCCCTTTCGGGTTTCTACGTAAAAATAGTTTGTTCATACACATTCATACATATATTTACTATATCGTGTTGGATTAAACTCAACACTGGCGCCGTCTGTGGGAATCTGTCCAAAAAGATTCATGTGTTTCTACTGTTCTTGAGTTTTCTACAAAAAAAAATCCATACGAAAAGCTACTTCAGCTTGATTTGCCACAAAAGAGATACAGAAAATGGACTGATTTTCAACAAGGGAAGAAAGAGGAAAAAGATTCTGGAAGGGGATGAAAGAAGCAGGAAAAAAGAGAAAAAGGAGTTATGGAATCTGGAGGTTCGAATCGGGTTTGCTTCCAGATCTGGTCCGCGGTCGCCGGAGCCACCGTCTCCGCCGCCAGGAAATCCCTGGTGGGTCTAGCCGCACCAGTCGGAGGCCGCGGTAACCTCCAAGGTCTCGTCACCTCGGTCCTGGGAGACCTCCAGCGCAGCAGTGCTGTTCATCAGTCGGAGATGTTCTCCTACAACTAGAACGCAGCACCGTCGGTCATCGCCGGCGGTCAACGGCTCCTGGTCGCTCCGACACTCACCGGCCACCGCTTGGAGGATTTGTTGGCGGAGAATCTTTGAGTTTCCACCATTAATGGCAGTCCGGAGCTCTGGGAGGATACATCAGAACCTCAACCAACCTCCCACCGAAAAGCTCACCCTCTGGCCGGCCTTGCTCCGCTGCAACCGTCGTGCCGCCCTCGATGAGTAGCCGACGCGGATGGTCTGGCCTTGGGGTCGCTGATCCGATGTCCACGTTATTCTTCCAAAAATAAGGAGCACCATTCATATTGCCTTGGTACTAAGCAGACCACGTCTGCGTGCCGCTTTCCTTGGGGAGCTCAATTTCACTTTCCTTGTAGCACAATTTTGACCAGGGAATTTTGACCAAGTCCGAACCTACTCCTCAAAGAAGCTAAGTGCCCATCTTTTAAATTGATGCACGTAATTATTAATACTTAATAGTTAGAGATACTAATATTATTATTAGTTAATCAGCTTTTTATCACCATTATTTATTACGGGAATTAAAATGTCCCGAATTAAATACTGTCGAGCGACGCTCTAGTGATAATTAGTTTCACCGTCATTTTAATTTAATGACTGGTTGTTGTGGGCCCGTCGGCCCACTCCTGATCGGCTTTAATTAGCGAACGGAGTGTACCTGAATGGCCTTTGATATGATAATATCATTGCTATTACCTGTTATATCACTATTATTTATTAGGGATAAAATGTCCCGAATTAAATAATGTGGAGCGAAGCTCTAGTGATGGTTGGTTCAGCCAACATTTTATTGAATATTTAATTTCTTGTGGGCCCGTTAACCCACTCTCGATCGGCTTGATTAAGCGGTCCGAGCGTCTCCAGAAGGGCGATGCCCCGACGACGCATTTTAATTTGAGGGTTGCGCATTAGTCCGCACGGCACTACGTGCCCGATCGACGATCGTACCCCAGTGTCATTTACGCCATTAGGCGTGAAATGATTATTGCCAAACGCGGCCTGTGGGGCCCGAAGGCACCAAAGCACCCAATCTCCTTTTTCTGAGGGCAGTGCGACCAATTTGGGTCTGAGTTTGAAAACTCACAGACCGATGAATATCTCTATGTGACGTTCGGCGGGCTGCTAATTGGCCCCGCCGCGAGCTGCTACGTCCATTAACCCCGCACGATGAGCCGGGCCGAGGGTCACGATGACCCATAGGCCGGTAATCGTGGGTGTTAGAAAGAAAACCATGCAGATGGTTATGTGTGTATACATATTGTCGGGCCATGCGGCCCGTTATCATGCTTATTGCGCAGCTGAAGCCACTCAACGCGCTTGAGCGAAATGATTAGAAGACGCTCGGCCCCGAGTCTTGAAGACGTGCAGGGCCGGCTAAAGAGGAGACCATCACGGCTGAGGACCGTGAGACGAGCATCTCCACCTAGAGGCCGAGGGCCTAGAGGAGACCACCACGGTTGAGAACCGTAGGACGAGTATCTCCACCCCAGAGACCGATGGCATAGGAAGAACACCTAGAGGCCGAGGATCTAGAGGCGAATGCCATGACAGAGAACCGTGAGACGATCACCCGTCATTCAGAGGCCGAGGGCCTAGAAGAGATCGTCACGGTCGAGGGCCGTCTGACGCCATCATTACATCATGACTGGCCCCTCGGCACGACATGATCATCATATTTGAAGACTGGCCTCGTCCCCGCGCTGCGCGGATGAGGACCGTTGCTTGGATTTCAGATCGGCCTCTCATTGCCGACATCATTACATCATGACCGGCCTCTCGGCACGGCATGATTATCTTATTTGAAGACCGGCCTCGTCCCCGCGCTGCGTGGAGGAGGACCGTTGCTGGATCTCAGATCGGCCTCTCATTGCCGACATCATTATATCACGACCGGCCCCCCGGCTCGGCGTGTTTTCCATACTTGAAGATCGGCTTCGTCCCCGCTCCTCGCGGATGAGGACCGCTGATTATCTCTCTTTGGATCGGCCCCAACGCCGACGTCATACACGGCCACCGACCTCCTGGTACGGTGCCACCATCATATTTGAAGACCGGCCTTGTCCCCGCACTGCGCGGACGAGGACCGTTGCTTGATTTCAGGTCGGCCTCTCATTGCCGACACCATTAAATCACGACCGGCCTCCCGGCTCGGCGTGCTTCCCATATTAGAAGACCGGTTTCATCCCCGCTCCTCGCGGATGACGGCCGTTGCTTGTTTTCTCAGGCTGGTCTCTCATTACCGATGTTATTATATCACGATCGGCCTCTCACTGCCGACGCTATCATGTTATGTTCGGCCTCTCGGCACGACATATTTATCTTTTGAAGACCGGTTTCATCCCCGCGCTGCGTTGGATGAGAGCCGTTGCTCGGATAAATCGGCCTGACCGGACACTATTGTCATCTCCATTATCATGACCGACTGCTCAGCGACATTATGATCATTGTATATCGGCTCCCAATGCCGACCTTCTTGAGTTAGCGATCGGGCTCACCCCTCCCTTCATGAGGGTGACCATCGCCTTCGCATGACATTATGTGTGACATCACTTGTGGTTATTCTTGGAACCGACGAACGTATTTTCCTCCCTCAAAAAAAAAAAAGAAGAAGAAAAAAAAAGAAGAAAAGAAAAGAAAAAAAAAAGATGGGGAGAAGGGGAGACGAGATCCTATGAGAGAGGGAGTCTTGACGAGGTATGCCTGATCTTCCTTCGCCGCGTATGACGAACGTCTCCCGACGCGGAGGCTAGTAGGAACGTGGGGGGGGGGGGCTAGACGTACCAAAGGGAACCTCGGCAAGATAAACCAGTTCCTCCCATGACCCGTGGTTCGATGAACACCTTCTGCTAAAGCAGAAGTCTAGTAGGGCCACGAGCATGGGACGACGAAGCAGGGAATCCCGACGTGGATAAACCAGTGACCTCCTTGCGATCGTTGGATGACCGAACGTCTTCTTCGAAGCAAGAAGATTAGTAGGACCACGACAGGGACGAACGAAGAATAGGGAATCCCGACGTGGATAAACCTGTTCCTCCTTGCGATCGTGGGATGACCAAACGTCTTCTTCGAAGTAAGAAGATTAGTAGGACCACGACAAGGACGAACGAAGAATAGGGAATCCCGACGTGGATAAACCTGTTTCTTCTCATAGTTGGGATGACGAACGTCTCCTGCGAAACCAGGAGACCAGTGCTCACGAGACTTGGGAAGAATGAAGAACCAGTTCTTTACCGGAGTCTGTTGCGTGACGAGTGTACACCGCTTAGCGGTCCATACATAGGACCACAGATACGGTAGACGAACGAAGACCAGCTCCATGGATCCGACATGAAGAACCAGTTCTTTATCGGAGTCTGTTGCGTGCCGAGTGTACACCGCATAGCGGTCCGTACATAGGACCACGGATACGGTAGACGAACGACGATCAGCTCCCCAGATCAGGTAGGAGGGACATCGCCCAGATTTATTTCAGGCTCACCATTCTTTCCCGGATGGAGTCCTGGCAGACGATCGGCTTCTCACAGCCAATCAGGAGAGAGACTTGACACATCACCAGCACGGCCGAGGGCCGCGAGACGATTATCACTCACCGACAGGCCGAGGTCCATGAGATGATCATCACTATTTTTCTGTATCACGATCGGCCCGATAGCGCCATCGTGTCCAGATTCACGGTTCGGCTCGCCCATTCCCTTCCAGGATGGCGACGACCGTCTTATGCAGTACGATCGGCCCCTCAGCGCCATCGTACCCAGCTCACGTTCAGCTCGTCCATCCCCCCAGGATGGCGACGAACGTCTTATGCACCACGATCGGCCCCTCAGCGCCATCGTGTCCAGGTTCACGGTTCGGCTCGCCCATTCCCTTCCAGGATGGCGACGACCGTCTTATGCAGTACGATCGGCCCCTCAGCGCCATCGTACCCAGCTCACGTTCAGCTCGTCCATCCCTTCCAGGGTGGCGACGAACGTCTTATGCATCACGATCGGCCCCCTCAACGCCATCGTGTCCGGACTCACGGTTCGGCTCGCCCATTCCCTCCAGGATGGCGACGACCGTCTTATGCAGTATGATCGGCCCCTCAGCGCCATCATACCCAGTTCACGGTTCGGCTCGCCCATTCCCTCCAGGATGGCGACGACCGTCTTATGCAGTACGACCGGCCCCTCAGCGCCATCGTACCCAGCTCACGTCCAGCCCGTCCATCCCTTCCAGGGTGGCGACGAACGACTTATACATCACGATCGGCCCCTCAGCGCCATCGTGTCCAGATTCACGGTTCGGCTCGCCCATTCCCTCCAGGATGGCGACGAACGTCTTATGCAGTATGATCGGCCCCTCAGCGCCATCATACCCAGTTCACGGTTCGGCTCGCCCATTCCCTCCAGGATGGCGACGACCGTCTTATGCAGTACGACCGGCCCCTCAGCGCCATCGTACCCAGCTCACGTCCAGCCCGTCCGCCCCTTCCAGGGTGGCGACGAACGTCTTATGCAGCACGATCGGCCCCTCAGCGCCATCGTGTCTCTTTCACGTTCGGATCGCGCATCTCTTCCAGGATGGCGACGAACGTCTTATGCAGTGCGATCGGCCCCTCAGCGCCATCGTACCTGGCTTTACGGTTCGGCTCGCACATTCCCTCCGGGATGGCGACGACCGTCTTATGTAGCACGATCGGCCCCTCAGCGCCATCGTGTCTCTTTCACGTTCGGATCGCGCATCTCTTCCAGGATGGCGACGAACGTCTTATGCAGTGCGATCGGCCCCTCAGCGCCATCGTACCTGGTTTCACGGTTCGGCTCGCACATTCCCTTCAGGATGGAGACGACCGTCTTATGCAGCACGATCGGCCCCTCAGCGCCATCGTGTCTCTTTCACGTTCGGATCATGCATCCCCTCCAGGATGGCGACGAACGTCTCATATGCAGCACGATCAGCGCCCCAGCGCCATCGTGTCTGGCTCGTGTTCGGCTCGCCCATCCCTTCCAGGATGGCGACGAACATCTCTTATACAGCTCGATTGGCCCCTCGGCGGCATCATGCCTAGTTCACCTCCGGCTCCGCCCATGCCATCTCGGATGGGGGACCCGTCGTATGCAGCATGATTGGCCCCTCGGCGGCATCATGTCTAGTCCACCTTCGGCTCCGCCCATGCCATCTCGGATGGGGGACCCGTCTTACGCAGCGCGTCTGCTTCTCGGCGCTGACATGCCCGGGTTATCGATGAGAGCTACTGCTTCTATCACATCTTGCATTCCCTCTCTCATACATTACATACATACATTACATGCATACATACATTCATGCATCATACCTCATACATTCATACATACACACGTGCATCATGTTTTGACAGTACCGCGACGTCGGTTTATAGATGATGGACCTCTAAGCTTCTCCGATTGGAAAGCTCGAGTCAGAGTTCTTTACTCCCGCCTGATGCATTCAGGGGGAGTGTGCCCGTGGAGGAGCACCCTTCGCCCGACCCTGTCGGGAAGGGGGGTGCCTCACTGGTAGATTACGTTCAGGAGTGCAGACACTCACTCATATATGATGATTATGTGAAGACACAATTTCCAGCAAGACAGAGGAAGAGCGCAGGCAGAGTATATTTTCTCGAGCAGATTCGCGGGCTCACTACTCAAGAAACTGGGGGACTTGTGTTGGGATATATTATCCCGGCCTATTACTGTTCATGAGTCCAAGGCTTTACGTAGTACGGAGCCCGAGCAGCTAGGCCCATTTCGGCCCATCCGGCCCACTTTAGCCATTTGGGCCCACTCTGGCCCATGCGGCCCATTAGGGTGGAGAGCATCCCCTTCCCCTATTCTCTATAAATATAGGAGTTTCCCTCCATATTATGGATCCTTTTCTTCTTCCTCCTTCTCACTAGAATAGCTTAGAACTCCATTAATGGGAGCTTCAATACTTGTACTATGTAATGGTGAGGAGAGTCCTAATGAGAATGAGAGGGCTTGGACATTAGCCTAAAAAGTCCCGTGGTTTTCTCCCTTTCGGGTTTCCACGTAAAAATAGTTTGTTCATACACATTCATACATATATTTACTATATCGTGTTGGATTAAACTCAACAATGAGCAATAGTTAAAATAAAAGAATGAACAATTGATAAGTCAGAGATTATAGTTTATTGAAATTAGGGGTGGGTTCGGTTTATGCGGTTCGGTTTTGACCTAAAACCAAATGTAGAATCAAACTAAAAACTTCGGTTCGGTTCGGTTCGGTTTGTTCATATTTTTTGTCCAACCACGGTTGATTCGGTTCGGTTTTGTTCGGTTCGATTTCGGTTTTTTCGGTTTTAAACCAAAAGACACATACTTTCTGAAAAAAGAAATGACGTGCAATTGTGCAAAATAACCAAAGTGCAGGAAAATAAAACACAAAGTACTGAAGAAAGTCAATTCCTGCCTTACAATTTAAATAAAGTGCACTAAACATTAGTGCATGACACTTAAAAGTTAAGCGTAGTAAACTTGGATATAGTGCAGCAAAATAAAATGCAGTCCCAACTGAAATCAAAATAAAATGCAGTCCCAAAGGGAGATCCGCTCATTTTTGCTTCACATCTTGAATCGAGAGAGCAAAGTGGAGAGTGGGTATTCGTGTGAAGGAGTGATCTCGTATTATTATTATTATTATTATTATTATTATTATTATTATTATTATTATTATTATTATTATTATTATTATTATTATTATTATTATTATTATTATTATTATTATTATTATTATTATTATTATTATTATTATTATTATTATTATTATTATTATTATTATTATTATTATTATTATTATTATTATTATTATTATTATTATTATTATTATTATTATTATTATTATTATTATTATTATTATTATTATTATTATTATTATTATTATTATTATTATTATTATTATTATTATTATTATTATTATTATTATTATTATTATTATTATTATTATTATTATTATTATTATTATTATTATTATTATTATTATTATTATTATTATTATTATTATTATTATTATTATTATTATTATTATTATTATTATTATTATTATTATTATTATTATTATTATTATTATTATTATTATTATTATTATTATTATTATTATTATTATTATTATTATTATTATTATTATTATTATTATTATTATTATTATTATTATTATTATTATTATTATTATTATTATTATTATTATTATTATTATTATTATTATTATTATTATTATTATTATTATTATTATTATTATTATTATTATTATTATTATTATTATTATTATTATTATTATTATTATTATTATTATTATTATTATTATTATTATTATTATTATTATTATTATTATTATTATTATTATTATTATTATTATTATTATTATTATTATTATTATTATTATTATTATTATTATTATTATTATTATTATTATTATTATTATTATTATTATTATTATTATTATTATTATTATTATTATTATTATTATTATTATTATTATTATTATTATTTTCCCTCGTCTTTTTTCTTGTTTTTTATTCTTTTATCCTTATATATATAAACATTATTTTTACCCGTTAAATTTTATCATTTTTATGTATATTCATTCCGTTTTATATTATCTTTTTTTATAATAGCTTATTTTTTGATCTTCATTTTCTTTCTTTTTCTTTTGGTGGTGATATCATGTATCGATTCATGTTAGCCGACCCCAATTTCATTTGAGACTAAGTCTTGGATGTTGTTCTTCTTGTATCTTGAATCGATCTACTATGTCTTCGAAGGCGGCTCCTTTTTTCGAGAGCTTAGCCTCTTACATTTTAGGTTAAAAGATTATGGAGTACTGGATTCGTAAAAAGCCTCTTACGCTTTCGGTCTTGAGCGTTGACCACACTAGATTCTCACCCGCGCGATGCGCGGGATATTAAAAGTAATAGTAATACAACAATTTTTTTAAATGTTATTTGATTGTGTGAAATGAAAGTAAATTAGCATATACTACCTTCGTCCCATTTATATTGGGACGGAAAAGGGTGACACGATTATTAAGAAAAGTGGGTTTGTGTGGTTGATATTAATTGATAAAGTAAGAATAAAGTAAGAATGATTTAGAGCCACACAAACTTTACCAAATATGGTATGTGACAATTTAAGTGGGACTTTCCGAAAAGGTAAAACAGGTCAATATAAATGAGACGGAGGGAGTATGTAACATGCATAATAATTTATAAATAAAGTTCGGATAGTGAAAACTCAAAGACAGGTAGTAAGTATGTTTTAGAATAAGTATAAAAAACAAATGTTAAATAGGGTTTCACAATCTACACATTGACCAGACGGTGGTTCCAGTTAGTCCGGACTGACCATATATCTTTTTTTTTCAACATTTTGATCAACATTCTATGGCCAAAAATTTATATAGTTATTAATAAATAGGTTTGTGAAGACTTTATTTGAATATACCTTTCATAAGATACGTAATTTATTAATAGAAATGAAATAGTATTTATTTAGTTATTAACAAATAGGTTTTTTATTTCAAAAATTGGGACCATTTTAAATCTTGTAAAATATATAGACATTTTGATTTCAGATTGGTACGTAGTACGTACAGATTAATAACCTCCTTAAGCTCCATTTTAATAATCACTCCATTGTGAAATAACCTCCATTTTAATACTCCGTAATATATTGCTCCGTATCTAGGAACCCAAAAGGCCAAAACCCAATAACCCATAACCGTCCATTTACAAAACCCTAATACTCCATATATAACCTCCTCAAGCCCTGCGCCGCCCATTCTTCTGTACATGACTTTCGTCCAGGTAGAGAGCGACATGGGTAAATCCGATGGTCTTCGTTTCTCTTCTTCAACCCTAACTCCGCCCATCACGAATCTTCTCCCCTCTAAGCTTCGTATACCTTCCATACTTCCACACCAGAGAGGTATTGGTGACTCGATGCAACGATGCTCTCATCCCAACTCTGATGCAGCGATGGTTGAAGACGATTCAAAGCCTCTAATCTAATGGTATCAATGTTGAATTCGTTGATTCTTTGTTTTATTTTTTGTTTCATGCTGCCTTATCCAACAACCGGAATAGTTACGATGGTTGAGGGATAATATCTCAGATCATGTCTACCATCCTTAATTGGGATTTGAATATGTATTCCTTGCGTCTCTGTCATTGAATTTTTATCCTTGTATGTATTTTTCTATGCATGACATTGTGAATGGAACTGAGGAGACAAATACCATCGAACGTGTTTTTTTCAATACAAAAGTATATGTAAATGATATTTAGTATTATTGTTCACTAAATGTCTAAATGTTTTTTAGAAAAATAATGTTTAACAGATTTATTAAGTTGACTAAATCTGTAATTTTCTCAGAATGGATATACAAAGTTTTTAATATCTGTCATTTTGGTACCCAAATCTTTGAAATCATAAGACATGCACTGTGTTTGATAGACATTGACGAAAATAAATAGCTTTGGAGTCGGTAAATAAATTATGCCACACATATATGACATTACTATAGTGAGATCTCAAATCAATGAGACCCCCACTAGATAAATGTCATACTTAAGTGAGTTTATATTGCTATATGATATACTTAACGCATTTGGATTGTAATTTGTACATATGAATGACGTTGTATACATACTTTGTTGAAAATACAAACAGTATTGTACTCATATATTTAACATGGCCCTTTACGTATGTTGCGATGGATACCGTTCTTGTTAATCTCAATATGATATATTTTTGAACATCTTATAAGCATTTTTAATTTAGTGAAAGGTATTGATTATGAAATCAATTTATCAAGTTCATCTTAGAATGACATAAGATTCAAAAGTGTCTTAGAACATAAAAATTGTAATCTGCATTGTTAGATAGTATTTGAACTAATTATTTATTTATTTGTCAACGGCCAAAACATTTTCTTTTTTTGCATAAAACAAATTGAATTTCTATGTTTGCATGTCATGGATATTAATAAGCTTAGTGTTTAACTATCTCATGTAGTGGTATCTATTCCTTATATTAGCATCTATGTGATACATTCATATACATGTAAAAGTCAGGATCTCACATGGCAGCCTGCTGGGCAGAAAAACTTCGGTGCTTTTAATGACTTTAAGTCTATTTATATACTCCGTATATAAGATGACAAAGTTGGTCAATGAGCTTAATGTGTTTATTTTAACTGTTTGGACATTCAAGTATGTTTTTTGATCTCATGCACTCAAAATATTTTAGTTGTAAGACCCTGAGGAATATGAAACAAATTACTAAAACAGTCTTAGTTTTAGCTTTGAAATTTACCTTTCTTCCTTGCCATTGATCCTTGTGTGTTTGACAAACACAATTTCCATAATCTTGCCAATGATATCTGTTTCATAACTGTCATAAAGCATACATAAGAGCAGGACTGCAGGAATGATAAGAACAGATTCATTTCAACATGTATGATGTATGTGCTACGTAGTGAGATACATTTTAACATGTCATTATCTTTTATATTGCAGGTCTTATCTAAAAAACGGATTATATTGTTGACTTATAATAGTATGCTTTGTAAAATGTAAATTTGTAGGTTGTTGGACCTGAATAAGGTGCCAAAATATGTACTATTCGTAAATGAGATGTAATTATAAAATAGTTCAGATTAGGGATTACAGGGTTTTATTACTGCATAGTCAAATTCTCAGCAGGTATGATCTACATCCCCTAGATTTTTTAGTCTTACTTTTTAATTAAATTTTTACCTGGATTTCTCTGATGAGATTGTTGATATTTGTTACTATGACCCGTACAGTTCATGCTCTTTTATTCAAGACTTCTGCATTCCAGGCTATGGGTTTTTCACTATAGCATGGATTTGAGTCCACTGTCAAAAACATTTGATGTTAAAATTTAAATGAATGCATAGTAGATCATATGAATGCATATTAGTAGTAATAGTAAATGCTTGTGCAATGCTTGCTTGTGGTATGGTTTGCAACCCATATTGAGTGTATTTATAGGGGCAGAATGGAGTGTCTTCCAAAATCAAATAGGTTTTTAACCAATGGTCCATTAAACCAAAATCTTTACTAAAGATATTAAAGTACAAACATTAAATGAGCTCAAGCAATACATTGAACTTCTTTTGAAATCTTTGATTACACATCCCCATGCGGATTTGGAAATGACATTCAAGATTTTTTTTAGTACAAACTAATTAATTCAAAGTGACAGCTGCCCTTTTTTTAATATTAAAGTTGTCCTTTTTATTGAGCCTCACAAATTGCTTTATTGGGTTTTGGCCTTTGCATTTAATGTTGTATACTTTAGCTATAAAATCTGCAAAACCCATTAATGCCAACCCAGCTGCCCGGTTTGAACTGATTAATTCAGGATTTTATTTGTGATCTCTTTTATGATAAAGTACAATCTAGTATTTAATGCATTGTACCGATTAATTCCCCACACGTTTTGAGCCACACAACCACACCTGCTAAAGTGGCCAGCATTAAAGAGCAGCAGTGGGCCTGCATAGGACCCGTTTCCACACCCATGTTGACCTGACCCGACCCAGCAGTGCACTGCATTTGGGCGGGAACACTGTTCATTTTTTCTTTTGGCTTTGTATAATAGAAGATGACCGGCCATATACTCCATATAAAATAAATGATTTTTTAATATTTTTAAATATTTCGGTTTTTTCGGTTCGGTTCGGTTTTGAGGAGTCAAAACCGAAATCGAAACCAAACATGTTCGGTTCGGTTCGGTTTCTTATGTTCGGTTTCGGTTTTTCATCGGTTCGGTTTATTTGGTCGCGGTTTGTGATATTCGTGTAATTTCCGATTGTATGTTTGTATTTTTAACTAGTTTTTATTAGTTGTAGTTGTGGAAATTACACACTTTTGGTGTAATATTTTATTTTCATTTTTTATTTGTAATTTGTTTAGATTAGGATTATTCTGAGCTAAACAGGTCAAAGATCATCGAAGGGATCAAGATTGGACCTTAAAAGATCAAGGAAAGTGCAAGGAGACAAGAAAGATTTCGATTTGGAAAAAATACTCATGTACTCGGTCGGGTATTGCCTATACCCGATCGGGTATTCACTTGATTCGATTGTCCAAATCAAATCCTGGAACAAATGATCGTGGGAGCAAATTTTCGTGAAGATTTGTCACATACCCGATCGGGTATGCACAGAAAAGTGACTTTCTGGGCAATTTCCTAAGATATCCGATCGGGTATCCTATATACCCGATCGGGTATCAGACCCTGCAGCTCCCAAAAGCCTATAAATACACCCCTTTCCTTCACAATAAAATCACCAATTCACATATACTCTTTAGCTCAGTTTAGATTAGTGTTTTCTTTATATTTTTTATCATGTTTAGTCTCCAAATGAGGAGCTAAACTCTTCCATCTTGGTTTTGCTACTTTGAAGCTTAATGAATTTGTAAGTTGTGAGTTATTCTCTTTAATCTTCTTCCTTGAATATTAATTCTTCCTTTAAATACTATTTCTATATCAATGTTGGGGAGTGTTACTAAGATGAGAATTAGTTAACATCTTGACATTAGTTATAGTAATAGCTATTTCTTCCTCTATGTTAATATTGGGGAGTGTTACTAATATGACAATTAGTTAACATCTTGATATTAACTATAGTAGGATTCATCTTCTTTAATATTCTTCCTTGATCGAGTATTAATTAATTCCTATTCATATTTCATATTAATATTTTGAACATTACTTAAAGGATCAACTAGTTTTGTTTCATATATTAATTAATACTAGAATCGGTCGATTAATACGCTTGTTATTAATTCGGTCCTTTCATGGTAGTAAACTTGGATTATTAATGCATGCATCTCATGGTTAATAATCTAAGGGGAATTAATTATATTGATTAAACCAATAAACCGCTTGTGTTGAGGTTATCGATCTCAATCGTTTTCATCTTAAGTTTATTGCTACTATCAAGTTAATATACGGCGCTTGTTCTATATTGACTCGATAGTAAGTTTTATTAATGAACGCTTCTCGTTATTAATAACTACCCTCGATGAACTGGATATACTCCTCGATTGAGTATTCGAGAGGAAGATAGTTAAAGATATAACCGGGATCGACGAACATTTCATTAAGTGGATAAAAGCAAAGCCAAGTCATTCATCTTAGTGTTAATTAAATCAAATCAAATCTAAAAACCCCCTTTGTTACTAGTTAATTAAAAAGAGAAATATTCCTTTCCCTGTGAATACGAACCTTCGCTATACTACGTATTAGTGTCGTATTGATATTTATTTTGAGTGCACCTCACGACAAGTGCACGTCAGTTTGATTTGATTCGATTCGGTTTTCGGTTTTCGATTCTACAAACCCACCCCTAATTGAAATGATTAGAATGTCAAAACAATAATTTGTTAGGGGAAGATAACAAAAAGAAAAGGAAATAAGGGGGGAAAGAAAAAGAAAAATAAATAAATAAAATTGTTAAGAATTGAGACGGCTGAAAGAAGGGAAAAAACGATTCTAATTCTTTACGTGCAACAAGAAAAAAAAGAAAAACAAATTAAAAACAAACAATCGGATGCTTGAAGCGTGAAGCAAGAGAAGAAAAAGAAAAATGAAATAATGTCTTTGACCTGTGAAAGCAGGTTAGTTTCAGGTCAGTGGATCTGTTTGATTGATGTTTAGTAGTAAATGTATCTATATGATTTTTTCTGACCATAAAATTTAGGCCTTCCACGGCCTCAGTTATAAACCAGTAAAACCCCGACGATCCAAGCAAAGAATACCATGATTTTTGTATGTTGTTAGCAGTTGACCCCACGCCTCTTTTCTTTATGGCAAGTATGAAGACAGCATATTGAAAGATGATAGTAGAAGGTAGTGTTTCCCATTTGTGGTGGAAGTTTATATGTGTATGTCCAGTTGTAATTTATTTGAAATAAGAATGCAATATGGGTTTTGTGAAATGGGTTTCTTCCGAGAATTTTATGTAAATAAGCAGTTTGAAGTTTGGAACATAGAGCAGGTATAATCTAAATTGCTTGCCACATGTTTGTCAAAATGTTTGAATCAATTTTATCATATTTATGGCTATTTCAAATCCGAAATAAAATTTCGTGATACTTCATCTTCCGAAATTGAATACAGTAAGCAGTAGGTAGTATTTTTCCTCAAAAAATAAATCTTATTTCAGGAATTGAAGACATAACTTCTCATTTTCTAAATCAAAAGGTTAGTAATATACAAAATGAGCATTGAGAAATGAGAATAATAGCTTTTGTTAGTTACTTCTTGAGAAATCTAGGTTGCAAATTGTCTCACTTAGCACGCTTAAAAGCATCATTAAGGAATTCATCATAATCAGTTATAAAGACAAAAGGCACATAATTTGGGTGAAAACTTGATGGTGTCTACGAATTATTAGCAATAAAACATGTAGTGAATACATTGTAAATTAGGGTGCGTCAGTCTTTTTTATGAGGTATCTTAATCTTTGTGAAACTCTCTAAAGCAAAATAGAAATATTGGACCGGAGTAAAAAAGTTAACCGATCCCAAAATTTTTTGGGACTAAAGCTTGGGTGTTGTTATTGCTGTTGTTGTGTTGTTGTTGTAGTAAAAAAGTTAAAGCAAAAGTGAAAGCAAACGTGAGAACTTGTTTTCCATCACTTCCAATGGAATCAAAGACGTGAGAACTATTTTTTAGCAATGCTTAAAGCAAAAGTTAAAGCAAAAGTTAAAGCAAAAACGTGAGAACTATTTTTTAGCGTAGGAATAAACCAAAATGGCTCACTAAACGGTTTGCGCTTCTTTATTATGAAGTAGCAATCAGTCCATGAAATTTTCGACACGTTTTTCATTATTGGTGATCCGCAAACCGTCTCTCTATGCTTTAGTACAAGGTAAAGACTGTGTACATCCGGGACCCCTTACCCCACCGTAGGTGGGAGCCTTTATGGCACTGTGGTAATGTTGTTGTTAATGTGAGAACCTGTTAGGTCAAAACGAAGAGTAATGCTAGTATGCTAGAGTAATTGAAAATTGGACTTACGTGACCCACCTTCATTGGGTGATAAACTGTTAGACGTGTGATCATTACCCAAGGTGTCGTGCCACAAAGGAATGTCTCCATAGAGTGTCAATTTTTTATGTCTCCCTAGCATTACTCTAAAACAAATGCTCTCCGGTACCATTTCCAGTTATGCCATGTGAAACCTATCAACTGGAAAAATTCATCTTTCATGGAATTTGGTTTTGAGTGGTGAGCATCATTCTCGTTATTACATTCATACGACTCTTTTCTCTTCCAGTATGAAATTTTAAAAAATTCTAATAAAGTTGTGGAACTTTGTGCCATCATAGTCGTGGACCACAATCCAATCTCCATGGCACCTTTTGTGTATTTTCAATGAAAATGAGTATAATGGCTTATTTTTTTAAATAAATATTCATAGATGCTCATAATTTCCATTATTTCCAAATGAAGCCAAAGACTTGCTATTTTTTGGCTTGGGAATATGATGGAATAAAGCAAAATGGCTCATTAAACTGTTTGCGCTTCTTTATTATGAACCAATAGATAGTCCATGTAATTTTTTATGCGATTTTCATCATGGGTCATCCGGGAACAGTCTCTATGTGCTTTAGTACATGGGTAAGGTTACTTACATCTGACCCCCCTTACTCCACTGTAGTTGGGAGCCTTTGTGGCACTGGGTTAATGTTAAGCATCCACTAGAGCGGCTAGTTGAGTTTTATAACAAAGTCTACCAAAGAAGGAATAGGAGGGTAGTTACTACTCCCTCCGTCCCCTTTTAAATGTCCCGGAAGAGGGTGACACGAGTTTTAAGAAAAGTGGGTTTGTGTGGTTGATATTAATTGATAAAGTAAGAATAAAGTAAGAATGATTTTGAGCCACACAAACTTTACCAAATAAGGTATGAGACAATTAAATAGGGACATCCCAATATGGTAAAACGGGACATTGAAAAGGGGACGGAGGGAGTAATAAATAACTGGTCTGTTAGTTATATTGTTCCCTGCGTGGACAATTACTATAAATAGCAGTTTGTGATGTAGTACAGGTAGGCTGTTATTTCAGTTGGTTGTTGGCTTCGAGAGTGGGCTTCTCGAACAGTCCCTTTGCATTGTACACCTACTTTGATTCTCTCTTACTCAATAAACTCTGTTACGATCTGTTCTAGCTGAAATTCTGTAGATTTCTTACTGTTCTACATAGATTACTATCAGTAATCTATCATTGGTATCAGAGCACTTGTTCTGGTGATCGGAAACTGTGTAGCGTCACCAGAAATTTTTTATAACATCCGGTAGAGCGGCCAGTTGAGTTTTATAACAAAATCTACTAAAGAAGGAATATGAGGGTAGTTATAAATAACTGGTCTGTTAGTTATATTGTTCCCTGCGTGGACAATTACTATAAATAGCAGCTTGTGATGTAGTAAAGGTAGTTTGTTATTTCAGTTGGTTGTTGGCTTAGAGAGTGGGCTTCTCGAACAGTCCCTTTGCATTGTATACCTACTTTGATTCTCTCTTACTCAATAAACTTTGTTACGATCTGTTCTAGCTGAATTTCTGTAGATTTCTTACTCTTCTACATAGATTACTATCAGTAATCTATCATTGGTATCAGAGCACTTGTTCTGGTGATCGGAAACTGTGTAGCGTCACCATATTTTTTTTCCGTTCCAGTTGTGAATGGTCGGGACGAGAGCCAAAATGGAACAACGAACGGAAGCGATGGAACGCAATCATGTTGCGATAGAAAGTAGCCAAGTTATGAGGGAGGACAGGAACTGGGAGACTCTTAAGGATGCTATTAGTAGCAGGTTCCAACCAGATTTACTGCAGAATCCCTTTGGACCTATGTTAAGTCTGAAACAAACAAGCACTGTTAGGGAATACAGAGATGAATTTGAGATGGTCATAGCTCCCCAAAGAACTGTGAGTTCAGGGTTCACTAACCATATCAAGGGTGCAGCTGAAAGCAGGAATTTCAATTCTTGGTTTGAGAAAATGGGAAAGAGGGTGACTGAAATAAACCCTTCCGGAATCAGAAAAGTAGGTCCTCAGCTATCGCAAGAAGAGTTTCAAGAAAGGAGTAGAAAGGGACTATGCTTTAAATGTGGAGAGAAATGGAATAAGGAGCACACTTGTAAACTGAAAAATTATAAGTTGATGTTGGTGGAAGATTCATATGGGGAGAATGAGCAAGATAAGGAAGATTCTGAGAGTTCTGAAGAGGAAGAAGTTGCTATGGAGTCTAAATCCATGCAATTATCTCTCATGAGTAAAGAAGGAATACCTACCATGAGAGCTTTCAAAGTTAAAGGATGTCTGAAATGGGATAAGGGATAGCAGCAAGTGGAAGTTCTTATTGACAGTGGGGCCACTCATAATTTCATTTCACAAAGGCTGGTTGACAGATTGCAGCTACCTTTCAACACCATTTCAGGGTATAAGGTGCAAATTGGTAATGGGGAAAAGATAGCTAATAATTTAAGATGTGAAGACTTGGTTTTATGCTTGCAGGGTACTGATATCACACAGGATTTTTATATTCTCAATCTAGGGGGGCTGATATGGTTTTAGGGATGGAATGGTTAACAAGTCTGGGAGATGTTGAAGTGAATTTCCAAAACTAGACTATCAGATGGGAGAAATTAGGGCTCAGTCAGTTCATTCAGTGAGATCCCAAATTGAATTCTATGGAAGTATCATTGAAGACTCAGGTGGTAAACAGGTGCTTGGAAACATATTTGAGATGCTTGACAGGGAGAAGACCTAAGCAGTGGTTTAAATGGTTACATTGGGCTGAATTTTGGTATAATACCAATTATCATGCCTCATTAAAACAAGACTCCCTATAAAGCTTTGTTTGGACAGGATCCTCCTGCAGTGATTAGAGGTGATGTGACTATCACTGCTGTGGAAGAAGTGTCTAAACTCACCGCCCAAAGGAATATGATGTTAGATGAGCTAAAAGAGAATTTGGCAAAGGCACAGAATCAAATGAAGCAACAGGCCAACAAACATAGAAGGGATGTTCAACTGGAAGTGGGAGACAAAGTTTATTTGAAGATACAGCCTTATAAGCTAAGGAGTTTAGCTAAGAAGATAAACCAGAAATTATGCCCAAGGTATTATGGCCCTTTTGAGATGGCGGATAAACTCAGTTCTGTAGCATTCAGGCTTAAACTGCCAGAAGAGAGCAAAATACATCCGGAATTTCATGTCTCTCTGCTTAAAAAGGCTATTTCAACTACTACATACTTTCAGCCTTTACCCAAATGTTTGAATGAAGAAATGGATTTGCAAGTTGTGGCAGAAGAGGTGTTGGATGCAAGGGTGGACAAGGAAGGGAACTGGGAAGTGCTCATACACTGGAAGAACCTGCCAAGTTTTGAGGATTCTTGGGAATCATTGCTGTTGGTCAAAGAACAATTCCCAGAACTTCACCTTGAGGACAAGGTGAATATTCAGGGGGAGTATTGTTAAGCATCCAGTAGAGCGACCAGTTGAGTTTTATAACAAAGTCTACCAAAGAAGGAATAGGAGGGTAGTTACTAATAAATAACTGGTGTGTTAGTTATATTGTTCCTTGCGTGGACAATTACTATAAATAGCAGCTTGTGATGTAGTAAAGTTAGGCTGTTATTTCAGTTGGTTGTTGGCTTCGAGAGTGGGCTTCTCGAACAGTCCCTTTGCATTGTACACCTACTTTGATTCTCTCTTACTCAATAAACTCTGTTACGATCTGTTCTAGCTGAACTTCTGTAGATTTCTTACTGTTCTACATAGATTACTATCAGTAATCTATCAGTTAATGTTGTTGTTTGTTATTCATAGATGCTTCATAACTTCATAGTGGTACTTTGTAAATGCTTGGAAATATAAATGGTGGGGCAGCAAGTAAATTTTGATATCCAAATGTAGTTTCATGATAATAATTCAATTTCATGCCATACTATTGATAGATTTTGGATTGGGGTTTGCTTCTGTTATGTATAAGTGTATAACTAGTGTACTTGAATGATGGTTTTCTAGACCGAGTAATACATTGTGTCAATGGATATTTTAATCTGTATTGGAACTTTCCAGGAATCTAGGGGGATAAAATGTCCAGGTTTCGTTCACTATTGCAAGCATCCCTTGCTGCAACTAAAAGAGGCAAGTTATATCAGAACTTGGTCTATTTACTTCTTCACTCTATGCACTAATGCAACTGACAACGATTGGTTCCTGTTCTTTTGAAGATACAATTTGCAATTATTATTACTATGTTTCTCAGTCTGCCTCCTTCAATCTTCCCATCGAGTAATGGTTTTTTACATTAAGGCACATGTAGATGGTTGTAATATGTAACAACAAATAGAGTGCAGTTCAAGAGGGAAGTTGTCTTAAGAAAGGATGGTATGTAAATATAATGGCTTATGTTCAAAATTTTTATGAATTCACATTCTTATGGTCAATGTGGGTATTTGTGCACTGTGCTTGGGCATTCGTTTTGGTGTCACTGGTCCAGTCCAATGCAATGCAATGAAATCCAATCTAATGATTCTAATCCAATCCAATCCAATCCAATCCAATCTGACTCACTAACATATTCTATTACATATCAAGTCTTCAAGAGTCTAGCCTACTTGCATTTTGTCCTGTTTTTGAGTTGTGATTCCAGAAATTTATATTTGAGTGATTTAATTTTTACTGTAGTAATTTGTTTACTACTGTTATATCTTATCTTAAATCTTAGATAAGAATTAAGTAGATGACTATAATTTTGGTCGCTTTCAGTTTTTGCTCTTCATCTCCATTTCTTAAGTACCACTAGACTTGATGTCTTTAAGGTCAAAGGACATTGTTTTCAAATCAGGCTTCTAGTATACTGTAAATTATCTGGTCTGAGTTAATTTATTATGGACTGATATCAGCTTCAAAAACATATATGGAATTATAGATCTAATGTCCAAACCATTCAAAAAAACCTACAATAATGAGGCTTGGCTAAACATAATCATTGGTTTGGATTATGTTGCATAAAAGTTAGTTTTGTCTTGGGTTGGGTAAAAACTGAGCACACACATAAGTAACCAACTGACCTCAGTCAAACCCAAACATTAGCACTCTTAATTAGTTGCCACACACATTCATTAATCTTTTTACTTTTCCTGCTGATGTGCTTAGTTTTAATGTTTAAATCTACAACTTGCAGCACTTACATGGAACCTTGAAGACTTAACTCCTCCAAGTGAAAGATATATTTTCAATTTCAACTCAAAAGCTGAACTGAAAAAGTGGCATTTATATTCAGATTCTGAATATGGAGGTGCATTTACTTGGGAGATTTTCTCTTAGATTCTATATTGCATGAAATACACGTGCTGATCTAGTAGAGTAGGAGGCTATACTGGTACTCTTTTTTAAATATATTTCTTATATGGTGTTATGCTTCTGATATCTATTTTCTCATACATATATAAATATAGATGAGCGTTATTGAGCTTTTGTTCTCATGCTGTGCCATTCCAACTACTTTCAGTAATTATTTTAATTGGGTTTTATACTTTTATTAGTTCATATTACACCATGGCCCACTTTCAATTTCACTGATACCATACAGTCTTATATTCACTATTCTACTATATGCAAATTTTTTCTTTAGAATCATATCTGAATATATCAAGTATTGATAACTTTTCAGGTATGTCATCTGCTTCTCTAGAGATTAAAGATACAAGTGGTGGACCTAGTGCTGTTGGTAAGGATAAACCCCCCTCCCCTAAAAAAGATAGCATTTGGGTTCAAAGTCCTTTCGTCACAGAAATGTGTGAATTTACTAATATTTTCTCCTTTGGATTCTAATCCACACATAATGCTATTTCTTCTCTTCTCTTGTAGTTAGACCCCTTTGATAATAGGCACATAAAACTAGGGTATCACCTCCACGTCGATCTGCTCTGTTGTGGTCATAAGTCTAGATGCTACCGCCTCCACCATCAAGATCGCTGCTGCTACCCGCATATCCAACACTGCCGCTGCCGCTAACTCCATCATCACCACTACAAAAAATGATGCCAACTCTTCAGACAAATCTGCCATTACAATGGCTGCGCAGAAATAGCCACCACCAGAGATCACCCTGCTGCTGCTGCTTAGACCTCCAACTGAGCCACCCATGCCTTTCGTTTGCATAATGATAATAATGATGATGTTAATAATAATAATAATAATAATAATAATAATAAGTGTCTGATCTGGTCTCCTTCGTTCTTTCTCCCTAGACCTAGTGTCTTTACCACACTTCCTCACTGAACCACATTCATTATTATGATTATTATTATTAAACACACTTATAGTTATTATTGTTGTTGCTGTTCTTCGTATTAGTTGTAGTAGTAGTAATTTTACTGATATCATTATTACTCCGTATTAGTATTAGTTAGTAGTAATTTCCTATTCATATCACTATTGGAATTTCTTTATTCAATTTTAATCAGTTTCTTATTAGCCTTTTTTATTTCCTATTATGATGAGGACTCTTGCTATAGCTACATAGCTATATAAGGGTCCTCAATATTGATTAATTAACCACTTTGAAGAATTAATTCTTGGTTGTCTTGACTAGGACAGACACTGTTAATTCCTCATTGAACATAGATCTGAGATACCCTTTTTCGTTCTTTCTCCCTAGACCTTGCACGAGATTCCAACCATGCATGTAACATAGCATGACCAAGATTTTGAGTTTGGGGGCAAGCTGCAAGAGGCCAAGAGTGATAAGGGAATTTCTTTACTTCACCCACGGTCATGTTTATCAAGCCCCACAATTGAATCCTATACTTTTTATACAAAAATTGTTTACTTTGATTATCCAAAATTAAATTGTGTGAACACACTCATCCCCATTTGGATTGAGGTTTACCTATGTTATGGTAAATTTTAAGTGATAACCTAGCTTAAGAGAAATTAAGATGTTTTTAATTTGAGTGTAATTTTCTAATCTGGCCTGTTTAATTCTGGTCTAGTCTGTATTGGTCTGATCAGGTAGATGTCTGTTCTATGTGTACTTTACAATTGTTGAAGTCTGGTCCAGTCTAGTCTGTTAAAGTCTGGTTTGTTTTGGGACTGAAACCAATGAATATTAGTTTAGGACAAAAGTTCAAAATTAAATACTACGTAATATTTAGGTGTTTGATTTTCTTAGAAGCGATTGTTGGGATCTGTTGCTACTTCATTACTAGGATTATTATTATTTTATTCATATTTAAGAATTATAAGACTAATATATTACTAGAATTTTGGGGCATGAGTGTTTTTAATTTCAATTAATGCAATGCTAAGTAATCACCGAGCAGTCGTTCCTACTCGTTACTCAGCCCTTGGCCAAGTTGCCACCTAGTAGCGATTTAACTACTCAGGTGGTTAAGTGGTTTATAATCCTTTATTCCTTTCTAAATAAATGTCAACCTCGGTTTCATTTTTTCTTCAACTCTGTGCCATGTCAAACCTAGAACCTATCATTGGGAGTGAGTGAGTTCTTGGAAATGAACCCATGAGATTATTGAGTGGTAATGTATTCACCCCGTTGATTTGGAGTTAAAGTTCTGATTAGTTATGTTGTATATTTTACCCCTGATTCATTACTAATTGGTTAAACCATATCAGTTTGTTATTGTTAATTTGTTACTTGAGGCAAGTAAAGGAGCTACAAAATTTCTGCAATTAGATGGATCCCTAGAAATGCTAGCCCCCACTTCCTGTCCTACCTGCCCTCTTCAGTTCCTCCACTGATCTCAACTTATTGCAATATAACTTGTAATCATTATTTTTTACGAGCCGTACACTAAACCTTAAGGTGAAATTGAGCACACCCTGATATATTAGCAGCAATAAAAAAGAAAGTAACACTTAACTCTTCTTTCTTCTTTTAAACTTGTTATTTTGGCTATTGGGACAGGAATATTTTCTGGAAACCTCTCTCTGGATGTTGTAGAGGGTTCAACCGGGAACATGACTAGAAGTGGCTTTTGCGGAATGAGGTCTAAAAAGGTACATTAATTACATTTACCTAGAGAGACAGACACATAAAAATAAATCATTGACATTTCTATCTCATTCTTTCCACAGTTTTGTATTATTGTATAGTTTTAGTAATATTGTCAACCACAATGTCTACATCTAAATATTCTCCTTGACATTGTGGAGAAAACTTACCAAAAACATATAAGATCATTCAAATAGGGAGAGAAATATTTTGCTTATCAATATTTGTGAGTCTATCTCTCTCATGCCACATGTGCACCATGCACATTGTGGCATTGGAGATGCTCTTAGTTGGACTATAAAATCTGTCTTTTCATTAGAAGTATTCCAGGATGTGCAATCATAATGTTTTTTACTGGTCTACTGAATGAGTTATTAGTCTTGTTTTTCTTGTCATTGTCATACTTAATTTTTGTTTCACAGTTTGATGGCTTCATTGACTTGGATGCATATGACACAATAGCAGTCAAACTGAAAGGAGATGGGAGGAACTACATCTCTACTGTGAGCCCCCTATTGTGTGCATATTTCTGCTAGAGTACTTTAATATTTAAATGATGAACCTTCAGTTATATGGAGCACTCATTATTTGTGTAGAGATACTATAATATTTAGTTTATTATTATGAGATCTGTCCTGATCATAATCTGATTTCCTCCTGATCATAATCTGATTTCCTAGAATCAAATAGGAGATTTGTATTAATTATAAGATCCTGTACATAATTACTCTTTCCTTTATTAAGTTAGCTTAGGCCTATAAATTGTATTTTAGCTGTTGTATTTGCAATTGATCAATAAAACTCTTTTCTTCAAGTATTTGAGTTAACCTTTCATCAGAATTTATTAATCAATAAACTTTCACAAAAATATAATCTTTTCCTACATATAACTGCAGATCTACACCCAGAATTGGGTGAATTCTCCTGGGCAAGAGGAAGATAACTCATGGCAGGCATTTGTTTTTGTACCTAAAGATGACTGGTACATAGCTAAGGCATGTCCCACAAGCTTCTATCTCTCATTTTCTCCGTGAGGCTAATTTTGTTGTGGGAACTTTGGCAGGCCAGTGGCATAATTTAGCTGCTTGTACTTTTTCAATAGCTTTCTTGAGCTCCCTATTCCATGAAAAAGATTCCTTCATTAGACCTTGTAATGGTCAGTTTGGGATGGAGGGATTTGGAGGGCTGAGTCTATATCTTGATATATGCTCCAAAGATTCTGGAGGGCTTACATGAATGCTCCAAAGCCCTCTAGAATCATCCATGGGAACATGTCTCAAGGGCTAAGGGATCTTTTTATGTAAGCCATGGCTCCTTTTATGAATACCCCATAATATCTTTATTTTATTTTAAAGAAATGAAAGGGAGAATGGGAATGAAAAATATTGGATTGTGCAAAGGTGGTAGTATCCCGGCCTGACTTGATCCATCCGGTTATTTGCCTATGCAAAATAATAGTAGTAGTAGTAGTAATAATAATAAAGAATTGGCATGGACCGTACAAATACTACTCCCTCCGGTTTTATTTATTCTTCACACTTTGACTTCACACAAAATAAGGAAAGAAATTTGACTTTAATGTAGAGTACACCGTTGAGGCACTGTTTGACACTGTTGAGGCACTGTTTGACACTGTTTGGCACTGTTGAGACACTGTTTGGCACTGTTGAGACACTGTTTGGCACTGTTTTGATGTAGATTTCTTTGCCAAAAAAGGAAATAAGGAAGTGTGAAGTTTATTTTAGACCGTCCCAAAAAGGAAAGTATGAAGTTTATTAAAAACTGGAGGGAGTATGATTATAATAATTTTTTCTTCCAAATGGAAGTAAGTTACGTCTTTCAAATTTAAGCTCTTGTATTTTCACTACAGATACCACTTTCCATGTACGTGCCGACATGGAGAGGAAACATAATAAATGCAAAGTTGGAGATGAATCCATCTCGAGTTCTGGCTATGGCTCTATCTGTCAATGCAGAAGGTGGAGTCCCAGGTGCGAGGTCTGGCCCTGGAGATTTTCATGTGGAAATTGACTGGATCAAAGCCTTGCGAACAGCATGAACAAGAGGCTGAAGCAGGTTTTACTACTTAGAAAATGTGGTTGCAAGAGTCAACTGAGGCTGCGCTATTTATGAATCCTATCGGTTGCAGCACTTATATTTGTATTGATAAAGTACTGGATTTCCCGCTTTCCTAGCTTGGTTGTTTTCTTCCAATTGCTTGTGTGCTTAACTGCTTATAATGCAGAGGCATAGTACTATAGTAGTTTAGCGGTTACATGAGTACATACTTTCTTTGGTACTATTTTCTTTTTTACGTTGTCACCACAAAATATAAACGTAAGCTTGACTGACAGAATATATGTGGGACTGTGGGAGGGCCTCAGTATTTGTGAATTGTGATTATGCTATTCAGCATGAAATTGTAATAATTGCAAAAAAATTGTGTTAGGACTTCGATACACACTTTGATGCCACACATCACATGTTACATTTCACGTGGAGCAAGACCATATAAGTTTTTCTCTTCCACGCAAACTGTTGAAGAGGAAAAGTATTCATTACCTTGATGGCTTGATATGAATGTCTAACACTCTAACGGCCTGTTTAGATTGAGTGTTAGCGGGTGTTAGTAATGGAAGTGTTAAAGAGTGTTTAGCTTAGCACTTGTTTGGGAGAAAAAATAAAAAAAATGAGAGGTGTTAGTGTTTGAGGGTGTTAATCATAACCTTCCTAACATCTACATTTATCACTTTTTTAACACTCCAATTTGGGGTGTAATTAGGGATGGACTCGGGTCGGGCCAACCGGCCCGGAACCGGACCGGCCCGCTACTGTGCGGGCCCGGACCGGCCCGGTGAACCGGTTCGTTTCCGGTTCGGGCCTCCCGGCCCGGTGGTATACCGGTCCGGGCCCGGGCCTCCAGTTTAGTGAACCGGCCGGGCCGGGCCCGGTTCGGGCCGGAATTTAATTTTTTTTTTTTTGAAATTTTTTTTAACTTTTGGGTTGGATTAAGTATTTTGGGCCATTTGAGGTGGTTTGGGGTGGTTTGGGGTGGAGGGGGAGGGGGTTAAATAAGAGAAGAAGAAGAAGAAAAAAAAAACATTCCGGGTGGCCCGGCCCGGCCCGGTTCTGGCCCGGAACCGGAACCGGAACCGCCCACCACCGGTTCGGGCTCGGGCCTCCTTTTTCTGAACCGAGGCCCGAACCGGAACCGGTCCACCCCTAGGTGTAATGAAGTGTTGGACAATCTTTGTCCTTCCTCCCAATTCAGCGGACTGTTCTTCTACCAGGCTCCTAGCGGATGACGTTCTCCACTCTCCAGGTATGTCTCTACTTGACTACATCCCCCAAGTTTTCTTCACCCATTGGTACATCAAAAATCAAAATCTACGCTATAGACTATAGGTATACGCATTATATACTTCCGGTATATATACCTGGTTGCTGGTTGCTACAGGTATACTCTACGGTTCGTACATATATACGAATATGTATACCTGGTGTCCTGGTTACTGGTCATCGCATTCCATTATTAATACTTCATTTTTGTAAATCTCCCAAACAAGGTAAGATTATGTTTAACACTTACCTTCCCTTCCGAACCCCTGACAACAGTTACTAACACTTCCATTACTGACACCTCCCAACACTCCATCCAAACAGGTTCCAGGATAACCCCAAAGAATCACAAGTTGATAAGTTCAGTGGTGGTAAAAAAAAATATTCAATGGCCGCCTATTTTGAAAAACAGAGCTCAGATTACACGCCATTATACCAATTGAAAGCATATTGCGAAGGATTCAGATTATGCGGCGACGAAGAGCTCAGATCACATGCCATTATGAATTATCATCATAATTCACTATAATAACATCACAGTTATCATCATAATAATAACATCACATGCCATTATGAATTATTCCTCTGTTTCACTCGAGGTTCTCACTTTCCTGTTTTGAACTTTTGAATGTTCCAATTAAAAGTTCTCATTTTCTATTTTAGGAAACAATTAACACTCTTAAATGATATATTAATCATCAAATATTAGAAATAATATATTTATAATAACATCAAAGTTATCATCATAATTTTCATGATATTATATATCCATCAAAACAATTTCTCAAAATATACTCAAATTTGTATATTTAATTATTCTCTAAATAATCGTGTAATTTTGCAATGATCTTTGAACGGGACAGAGGTAGTAAGCAGTTTTAATGTTACGGAGGGCTTGAGTAATGTCTGTTGAAGTAAATGTTCTAATTTTTAATACTGTGACTTAATTAAGGTTTATATGTGCTATTATGAGGCAGGAACTCATATGTGGACTCATATGTTAGGCCTCCTAAGAAATTAATCTTGGCACACCAATATCTAGTAATTAATGAACATCTTCAGCTCTTCAACAATTTAAACAAACATTAGTACAAACAATGAAATTATGGTCATATATTAGTAGCATAGCCACTAAAAATGCACTACTTCCGTTCTAGTTGGACACTTTTAAAGCAATATTTAGATAAAGCAATTTCAGTATAGTTTGAGAGGTAGTTTGGGTGAGAATATACTACATATAATATAATAGGGCAACTGACGATAAATGAATGCATTGATTTTAATAACTTATACTACGTATAGGCTATAAAATCACCATTTATGAGTGCTAATTATTTTCTAAAATGAAACGAAAATAGACGTGCAGACCTATCAATGGACCGGGTCTGGGTGGGAACGTAGTGTTCAAGATCCGAACCTGCTAAGTTAATAATAGACCCGGATCCGACCCGTTTACTCGACGGGTCTAAAATTTTGAACCCGGACCCATATCCAACGGATCTCGTAACCGGGTCGGTAGACCCGCCAAGTATAATATGCACACAATTATAAAGTTTGTGAAAATAACAAGACTTGTATCGGTTCGCAAACTTAAAAGCAAAATATATCTTCACTTTTCAAAATTCAAGGTTTCTTATATAAAATTAGTAAATTTTATCCGATAATTATAACAACAATAACGACAACAACAATGTTAGAGAGCTTTTAGTTTTATATCCCAACAAAGCATTGTATTGTGGGGCTCGAAAGTTTAATGGTTAGCTCGCGAGTTCGATTCCCACAAGCTATATGTGATGACATGAGGTTGTGATGTGGCGTGTAAATGACGTGGAAAGAGAAATAAATTTCAGCGCTGATATTTCATGGCACGTGACCAGGATAAAACTCCAAATTATAGTCACGGACTCTGGACTCACTGTAGTTTGTTTTCCGTTCGACCATAACTTTGCATGTGATATAACGGTCTCAAAATTAACGGTGCCGTTTAATAACCTTAAAATGGCACGTGCCTGTTCAAATAAATATGGTGTACTTGCAGTTGAGTCCCTATATAGTAAACCCGGGTGTACGTACATCCGGCCCAATTATTAAATTTGATTGGTGGGCTTACATCTTGTTCCAGCGAAAAAAATTAAAATCCCCAACGGGATTCGACCCCCAGACCCAAAGTAGGGTATGCGGCCTTCCAACCATCTCACTGACTTGTCTTGTTGAGATAATCCGTTCTTTTATCTTACTTATCCTATATAGTTTCATACTGCCTATTATTAATAGTAATTATAATATTAACTATTCTTTTGTTTTTGCTCATTATTACTATATTAAAAGACTAATTCATATTTTTGAAGTTATTTGATCTATGAATCATACTATTACTTTATATAAATATATTTATTTATACTTTTTTTTATATAGTGTTAGGTTCCTAATAAGCCTGATGCTCATCAAAAGTGTTTTAATGCTCATAATAGGTCTGATGAACATTAAAAGTTCATTAATGCTCATTTAACAGAAACTGTGATTTTTTCATCTCATTGATATGACATTGTAAAAATGAGCATAACATGAGTACCAAATGAACATACATAACTTACAAAGTGCACATTGATATGAAAATCGTAAGGTTTGTTAGTTGAACATCATGACATTTTAATTGAGCATCCAACCTCCACTATTGAGATGAAAATCACGACTTCTGGAGAATGAGTAATAATGAACTTTTAATGAGCACCAGACATATTCTGTTGAGCATACTGAATACACAAATTGATATTTAAGCATACTCAAGATTTTAAATGAGCTTTTAAAATTTTTCTATGCTCATTTCGTAAATTAGCTATGCTCATTTGATATTGGTGTAATGTTCATTTTAAAATGAGCATTACACGAGACAACTTAAATGTCATATGCATGCATATTGGCGCAATGCTCATTTTGAACTTTTTGATACTCATTTCACGCGTTATGTATTCACATTTAATATTTGAGCATCAAACATCCGATATTGAGATGAAATTCACGGTTTCTAGTGAATGAGCAATAATAAACGTTTAATGAGCATCGTACTCATTCTATTGAGTATTAGGAGTCTAATATTTAGAATCGTGATCTCCGCTTCATAACTTCTAATTCACTTTATTTTTGTTATTTTTTCTTTTATAAAATCTTATTAAACTATATTTATAATCAACTCCTGTGAATTTCAATATGTTAATTAATGTAAAATAGTACTTTAAAAAATGCATCGATATGACATTTAGAAAATGAGCATAAGATCTCTACCAGATGAGCATACGTAACTTACGAAATGAGTATTAATGAATTTGTTAGCTGCTTTGTTATTTGAACATCATGACATTTTCATTGAGCATCAAACATCTTCTATTGAGATTGATGAAAATCATGATTTCTGTAAAATGAGCATTAATGAGGATTCGACCTATACAAATGAGTATATGTAACTTACAAGATGAGCATCGACATGAAAATTGTAAGTTTTGTTCGTTGAACATTTTACACACGCATTAATATGCCATTTTACATATGAGCATAAAATTAGTACCAAATGAGCATGTGTAGCTTAATTGGACATCACGATATTTTCATTGAGCATCAAACCTCCTATCTTGAGATGAAAATCACATTTTCTGTTAAATGAGCATTTATTAACTTTTAATGAGCATCAAACCTATTTTGTTGAGTATTATGAGTCTAATATTGAACATCATGATATCTGCTTCATAAATTTTAATTCACTTTTTTTTTGTTATTTTCGCTTTTATAATTTTTTTTAAAATTATATCTATAATCAATCCTTATGAATTTCAATATGGGAATTTATGATACTTTTGAAATATGCATTATGTAACATTTTAAAATGAACATAACATCAATACCAAATGAACATACGCAACATACAAAATGATCATTAATATGAAAATTATATTTTTTTTAGTTGAGCATCAATTCATTTTTAGTGAACATCAAACCTCTGATATTGAGCACTGGAATCGTGTGATTGAGTATCATGATTTGTGGTCTCGTGTCTATAGTCAACTCCTATAAAAATCTAATGTAATATGAGACTTTTGAAATATGCTTTGCAAAAACATTTTAAAAATGAGCACAATACAGATACTAAATGAACATACATAACTTACACAATGAGTATCCAAAAATTCAAAAGCTCATTTGTGTATGTTCATTTTTTTTAAACGTGTTACTCATTTGACTTTAAAATAAAGCTCATCTCTGAGGTGCTCGGTATTAATATATAAAGAAAAAGAAAGAAGAAAACAAAAAAATAAAGAAACGAAAATAAGAAAACAAAAAAGAGAACACAAAAGAAAGTAAAACCAACTAGCTACGGAGTAACAATCACAACCATCACTTCCAGCCTAGCTGGTTGTGAGGTTATCCTTGCATAGGAGAGGTCTCGTGTTCGAGTCTCACTAGCACCAGTGGAACTATGCTCCCCCAAAAAACCCTTCAAGTGGTAGAGCCAAGCGGTGTATACTAACCCGTGGGGCCAAGCCAAAGTTGGGTTTCTGGGGTAAGGGGCCGTGAAAGCGGTGGAGCTAGTCACTATAAAAAGTTTACCCATACCTTAGTTTTTGTTTGACCGGTGGGCGTAGCTCAACTGGTAGCAAGGGAGTGCCACAAGGGTTAGGTCTCGGGTTCGAATCCCGGCAACTGCGATGAGGGGTTACTATGCTGAAAAATGCATAGGGTCTCTGCAAGTACCGGGGACAGAGCCCCACTCTCTATCTGTCAGATTGTGATTATAGTCCAATTTACATCCTCCCATCGTGCCGTCCGGTCGGTGGTGGGGGGCCCTCAGGGATGGGGTGTCATCCTTTTTTTTTACGAAAGTGGATAACATTTGCATTCATTCATTCATCCTCACCTGCTTTTAATAACAGTATAAAAATTGAATTCATTCAGCAAATTCATCAAATTGTATGTAATAAATTATTAATGATAATGATTACAGTGGGAAGCGTGAAACTTCTGCCACTGACTAATAAATGCTTATTCGTAATTGTGTAGTGAATGAGATGCAGATTAGATACGGTGCTATCCGGTGAAGTTAAAGAAGACGAAACTAAGGTGCGATGCATCTGATCGGTCGCAGGCTTCTGTAGGCGAGCTCTGCGGGTTGGGTGAAGCCATGGATGGCGGCGAATGAATTTCTACAGGTCAGGGATGAGAGGAAGATTAATTAGAAGGTTTAAAGTTGATAAATATTACAAAAGAACCGGGTGTACGTGTACGCCCGGGTGTACCATATAATTTACGCTTGCAGTTATCAAACTGCCGGTCAAGTTGATTTATTTTCTGGGCAGGGCTATGTCGGCGGAGTTGTCTTACCCACTCAACTGTTGCAGTCTCTGTCCACAAAAAAGGTTTTCGTTTCATTTCATGATTTTCATCTTTCAAAATTTTGCCTGCTTTTTGTACTTCAGTGCTTACACCTTCGCAAATCGCTGATGCCATCGTAAATGTTACTCGAAAACAAACTTTGTTCATCTAATTTTATTCATCTAATAAACCTAAATCCTGGTACTAGTGTTTCACTGTAACTGAAATTGGCTTCTAAAAGGGCAATTATTGGGGGATCGTTTCTTGTGATTTTAGGAACGATACTTAGTTAATGCCTACTCAGTGTTCGATAAAAAGCCTCTTACATGGTTCATGAAAGTATACTCATTATTTGTTGCCAATGTATTTGATATTTCAACGGGAAGAAGTAGGGTGCAACCGATCATAGCATGAGACATTTTACATATTTTCTTTATATCACATAGAATTGTACAATAGATAGCATCATACAAAACAGAGAGCCTTTGTTTCTCTTACACAGGTATACAATATCACCAACATCTGTATAGCTATCAATCCTTTATCAGTATCGAATAACATAGAGATTCTATTGTAATTTTTCCTTCATCATTTCCAATGGAGTCAAAGACTAACTATATTTTGGCTTGGGAATATGATGGAATAAAGCAAAATGACTCACTAAATAGTCTATGTTTCTTTGTTACGAAGCAACAGTCAGTCCATATAATTTTTGACATGATTTTCATCCCGGGTCATTCAGAAACAATCTCTCTGTGTACATCCGACCCCCCTTACTCAACATAGTAATGTTGTTTTTGTTGTTTGTTCTCTTGTAAGTTTTCCAAGTGCTTATCACTTTATTCATGCTTTATAAAATCACCAGCAGTTTTATTTCCTCTGCCTTTTCCCTTTTATAAGATATAAAATCATTATGTTAAGAAGAAAGTAATAATATTACGTCAACCCAATTCCAAAAGTAATAATTGCAAGTTCAAAATGAAGGCGGTTCTCCATTTTTAAAATTAATACAGTTTTCAACTTTAAAAAACAAGGTGCATACTTTTTATTGAATTCTTATTATATTGTAAATAGAAAGATTAGTTACAAAGTACAAACACATTGACTGTACAAGTAACATAGTTTTAAATTATCCTTATTAGGTAAACCCCCATAGCTTATCACTTCTTCTACAAATAGTTTAGACAAACATATTAGTTACATCATGCTCTTAGGTTTAGAAAAAGACCCTTGCCACTCCTTAAAAAATCCCCTAAATCTTTGAAATGTCTAAATTTGTATCAGTCTGCTTTATTTGTAACCTCTTACCCGAGACCTTATACCCTCCCCTCTTTATCAAAGCTCGATGCCAGGAAGAATATGTTTCTTCATTCATATAATTTCGCTTAAATTTGTATTTTGTCGTATATTTTATTTTTGCGTCAGGTTCTATGGCCATTTTGGATGGCCCAGTCAAGTGTCATACACTTTACACAGTTCAAGTAGGCAACTGTATACTTACACTAATGTGTTTAAAACTGGTCAAAAGCTAAAACTTAGCTTATTATACAAAAAAAAAGAGAAAAACCTTCATGGTGACGAGTGAACACGTGGTGGCACCATATTGGTGTCATCGCCACGCTGTGTTTGCCATTTTTTTTTAACAAATGTTAACTTGTTTATTTAGTTACTTTTGGGAATTGGCCTCGATCATTAGTTTACCAGTAAGCCCGTTTGCATGGCTCTGACTACTAATTACCCAATTTAGCCATCAGTCCATATTAGTAATAAAAACCCCAATAAGAACTAAATAAAGACCAGCTGACCTGATTGATGAGGTAAATGAGATTGAAGATACCTTTAAAAGTTAAATGAATGAGGATGACGTTCCATTGTTATGATGATGACAAGTATGGTGACATGATGATTATATCCAAGGTTTAAAAAGGCTAGTTCGAGTATCAAGGCAGTTTGTTCTGGAGAGGCGAGGTGTATTGAGGTGTAACCTCAAAATATACCCACACAAAAAAATTATAATAGTTAAACTAGTAATACACAACTAAAGAAATGGATAGTTTTAAGTCCAAAAAGTATCAAACACAAACAAGGTATGAACAGAAGTCATTCATCATCAGATGGTAAATCATCAACCAAAATATTTTCCTCATCAATGGTTAGGGATCTTAATTTAAGGTGTCCATCTTTCAGTCTCTAGTAAAACTTTAACCAGTTATAGGAAAACATGACCACCAACTTAGGACAAGAAGGAAGAGGACAGAGAAGAAGAGTAGAAGGACACATCTTTAATGTATGTCATGTTTTGGTTGTCATGACCACCCCACTCTCCCGTCACTTCCCGCTGCTGAACTATTATGTTACTTCCTCATTTCTTCATGGAAAGGATGAAGACAATATTTTTTTATGTGTGAAGCAAATAAGTATATGTACGTGTAGCTGTAGTTCATTTAAAACAAGATCTTCATGTTGATTGAACAATGGGTCTGAACAAGTTTGAAGATGGAATCATTGGGCAGGTAAGTTGTGAATTGCTTGCCAGGTGTTTTTCAAAAAGCTTGAATGAATTGTATCATACTACGTATAATTTCTTTCGTTAATTGAAATTAAACTTCGTGATACTTCATCCTTTGATATTCAATATATATTAAGCAGTAGGTACTAGGTAGTATTTGCCTGGGGTTTGGACTAATGGATTTTAGTAAAAAAATTCACTTGTAGATGTTGAATAGTACCGTTCAGTTGCTAGGGTCTCATTTCTATGATATTAAAAAATAGTATCAGTTTTTTAATCAATTGTGCACTGATCAGCTTGTTCCCTCCCAGGGTTCCTGTCAGACCAAATGCAACATCTGGCTTCAATGATAAAGCTGTTAAAACATATCAGCCAATACACATTAATTAGAAAGAGTACATCGACATGCTCTTACAGTACAGCTGTTCGATCTTTTCTAGTCTCCAGCCAAGGCCGTGTGAAGAAGATTGTATCTGCAGATCTTGGATCACCCAAGTTTTCAGGAAAAGATGGTGAAGGTGAATACAAACGGCAAATAGGAGAACATATTTCAAGAAAGGATAAGATCAGCATTCTGGTAGAGACGCTTCTAGACCTAAAAGATAGTAAAGAGGGTATCTACAGTGCCCTGGATGCCTGGGTTGCATGGGAGCAGAACTTCCCAATTGGATCCCTAAAGCAGGTGTTACTGAAACTCGAGAAAGAGCAACAGTGGCATAGAGTTATCCAAGTTATAAAGTGGATTTTAAGCAAGGGGCAGGGCAGCACTAGAGGTACTTATGCGCAGTTAATTCTAGCATTAGATATGGATCATAGGGCGAAGGAAGCACGTGAGATTTGGAGGAAAAACATTGGGTCGGACCTACATTCGGTGCCATGGTCATTGTGCAGTCTCATGATGTCAGTATATTATCGAAATGATATGCTGGAGGATCTTGTAAAGCTGTTCAAGGGCTTGGAGGCATTTGGGCGTAAACCGCCGGAGAAGTCTATAGTGCAGAAAGTTGCTGATGCATATGAAATGTTGGGCTTGTCCAAAGATAAAGAATGTGTGATGGAGAAGTACAAGGATCTCTTCAATGAGACACTGGATGAAAGGTCCAAGAAATTTAAGGGATTTCGGGCCAAGAAGAGAGGAGAAACAAAGAAGGAAGATTGAGAATGTAGTTATTTACTTATGTATGCTTCTGTACATCTTTATTCTACATCTTCTTGAAGTTGGAAGTAATCAATTATTTCGGCATATGGCAACTGGCCCTAGTTTATGTGAGACCTTACCGACTGTGTGTGTATACTGAGGGATCAAGTGAACCCTTTTAAAATGAGAAACCTTTAACAACGTAAAGCAATTACAAAAACAGACCTTTTTGAATTTAAAATAATAATTACAGAAAAACATGTACTCCCTCCGTCCCGAAAACAACTTCCCACTTTCCTTAAATGGATGTCCCAAAATTAACTTCGCACTTCAATACTTTCCTTATTTGGTAAATTATCTACATTAAAAAAGTGATAAACAGTGCCAAACAGTGTTTAAACAGTGCCAAACAGTGTTTAAAAAATGCAAAACAGTGCAATCTACAGTAAAGTCAAATTTATTTCCTAAAAGTGTGTGAAAGTCCAACCGGGAAGTTGTTTTCGGGATGGAGGGAGCAGTGGCGGATCCACTGCTGTTCAAAAGTGTTCAACTGAACACTTAGAATTTTCAAAACACAGTACCTTGTATTCATGGTGACTTCGTTTTGCATATTTTGGAAAAATACATGCCTATGCGTCGTTTTTAAATTAGACCTGTAGAAAAAACAATTGCTGACATACTAGTGGCCGGCTTAGTGCGTACTAGAGTGCTATTGGTCTACTGCTCTTCGAGGGAATTTGGAAGATATACTATGCTACTTTCCTTATTAAATTACATGTCTATAAAATTCAATTATCAATTTAGTTGAAAAATCTTTCAACTGGTGTAGTAATTAAATGAAAATTTACTACTTTAGTATTGGTAGGTTTTATTGAAATAGATAAGTGTATAATTTGTTGGCTATTTAACACTATCTTAGTTTTTTATTGTAATAATGACAAAGTGTATAATTCTTGCATAAATTAATACTCCATAGTATCATTTGAAATTGTAATTTTTGTGTGATTCCGAACACCCAAAATATAATTGCTAGATCCGCCACTGGGAGGGAGTATGTTCTTAACCGTTGATTGAGAAAATGAAAAGGTGATATTGTAACTTCTCATCACAAGGAGTTCTCATCCAAAGCAGGTACTCAATAAAACCCTCACATTTTTTTAACCCTCACACACACACACATTTATACATAGAGTGCAGTTAAAAAGTGTGAACAATTGCCATCGAATACACTTGTGAGCTGTTTTTATTACAGTCTAACTTCTTTTAGTGAGCGTTTTTGTACTTGGATATAAACTTTTATTCTTGTAAAACAATTGTAACATTGCTTAGTTAGTTTTCCCAGATTAAAACGTAGAATATGCCTGGATGTTAGTTTTCCATCATTGGTCACTGGCCGATGATGCATGATGGAAAACTTAACTTGGAAGAGTTAAGTTTTAAAGTTGTGTAGTAATCTACTTTTACTTTATTATTAATTGCTCACTTGACTTCTGAGTTCTCAGCTTACTTTTTATCTAATACTACATTCGTCCCGTTGAAAGGTTCTCATAGCAAAACGACACGGTTATTTAGACAATAATTAAATAAAGTACTTTGAGTATATTTTGAGAAATAATTTTAATAGGTATATATTATAATGTAGTTAGTATTATATACTCTGATATTATAAATGTATTGTTTTTTAATATTTAATGATTAATTTGTCACTTAACCTTGTTAATTATTTCCTAAAATGGAAATGAGAACCTTTACATGGTATATCGGTATATCCTACATTGTTTTAGCACTTAATTTTTCAAGTATAATAATCTATGAAATTAGTGTCATCTGTGGTGCACCACCGGTGAGAATATTAGTTTTGAATGACATTTGTATTCAATTTTTCAAAGCTAAACAAAATTGTTAACATGTTTTTTAGCAAGCAACATGATTTTTCAATAAATAAATTTTAATTATCAAGAATCATTACGAAGCACCATTATTACATCAGATCATAAACTCAAAACGTTGATACAGAGATAGGCCGGTTAATGGGTCGGGTCCAAACCCGGACTCGATCTAGATTCATCATTATGGGGTGATGGGGTCAATCTAAGCCCAAACCCACTCCAAATTTTTAATGTACAAATCCCGTGTATTTTTTTTAAAATATTCTTCGTACCGACCTAGGCTAAGGCCCTGCCCCTGTCCCTGGCGTGGGGCCACATTTAATTCAATTTCCTCAGACACGAACTTGAACCTGTTGTTTATTTCGATAAATGGGTCGAGCATAGTACAGAATATTCCGACCTATTAAAGACTCGACTAATATACAAATTTCCAATTAATAAAAATCAAACATACATACATCCGTACATATTGGTCATTTTTAAAAATATAAATACTTCCTATACACGTACTCATGAACGCATATGCGTATCTACGGCACTCAAGTCGCTTGTGCTTCAAAATAAATTCACTACTAAGGGCGATTACATTAGTATATTGTTCATATTCACAGAGAAATGTGCTCTTCATGTGTGAGTCAACTTAAGAAATCAAAGTAAACTAAACAGAAGAGGGGAGGGGGGGGGGGGTTGGATATTTTGATAATTGAAAAAAAAATTAAACACAATGGTGAACGAATTAAAATATCAAAGGTAATCAACTCTAGTTTTGCTATTTCTCCACTTAGTGAAGTGCTTGTTGACCAAAGTTAGTACTTTAACTCTTTCCTCTTGAATACTACTTAATCGTGGAGATTAAATTGTCCAATTCATCCATAGTAGTTATTAATAACGAGATGTGTTCATTAATAACTTTACTATTAGTTAATATAGAACAAGCGTCATATATTGATCTAAATAATAGCATCCGCTCGATTTAATGAAATCACTTAAGAATGATAACTCGTAACTCGAGGTGAATATTCTCGACTGTCAAAATGAGAATCTCAGGTCCAACTATTCTATCCAATTCATCCATTTATCGTTTGATGAAATCAATTAGGATTGATAACCTCAACAGAAGCGGTTTTTCAGGTTAATCAATAAAATTACCCCCTCTTTGATTATTGACCATGAGACGCATGCATTAATAATCTAAGGCTACTACTAATAACAAGTGTATTCATTGAACGATTCTAGTAATAGAAAACATCAACTAATTAATTGATCACTTAGTGATGCTCAAATATCAATACAGAATATAAATAGGGAAGTAATTAATAGGAAAAATTGACAAGAATAATCCCACCTTTCACTGGTCTTTTCATAATAATCTCACCTTTACGTAATCCAAGAATAATCCCACCTCTGCACTCCATCTTCTTTCATTGGACCCTGACCTATTGATGACCTACAAAGGTGGGATTATTTATATAAGATTTTTAAAGAAAGGGTCCAATTAAAGAAGATGAGGTGCAAAGGTGAGATTATTCTGGGATAAAGGTGGGATTATTATGAGAAGACCAGTGAAAGATAAGATTATTCAAGAGAGGCTCATTAAAGAAATAGCTCGCAACTTGCAAATCACTACCTTCAACATAGAAAAGCCAACCTCAAAAGACTACCTAACTTACAAGAATAAAATCTATATGAAAGATGGAATTGATTGGTATAAAAATGGGAAGGAAAGGGATGCTTTATAAGGGTTTTGAGATTGCAGAGTCAGATACCTGACCAGGTCATCGGGTATTTTTGGCAGTAGCTACGAAAGTGTTGAAATCTAGTCATACCCGACCGAGTACGTCCATATACCTGATCAGGTGTTAGATAAAATCAGATTCTTCCACGTTATCTTGCTTTATTTGATCTCGTGCGATCTTTGGAAAATCATACTCAATCAAGTATTGGAAAGCTTTCTCTTGTCTTCAAGCTCCTTCCTTACGCTCCCCAAGCTCCTTCCTCTTGCTTTTCCATCACGTTTCTTGTTTACATGTCAAAATCTCTTAATATCTTGTAATTCTGATCTTATTTTGAAGATAAAGATTACACCATAAATGTACAAAAGCTAAGTTTTTCTTCTTCCCAAAAGGCAAACCACAAGTTTGTGGGGTAAATGTTGAGAGTCATTTATCTTATTTTATTATACACTAGACTAGCCCAGATTAAAAAAAACACTAGACCGAATCAGATCAAATTTAAATAGAATATGCATTAGAATAGATAAGTAAAATATACATACACCCGACATTTACTGGACCGAATCAGATCAAATTTAAATAGAATATGCATCAGAACATATAAGTAAAATATACATACACCCGACATTTACTAGACCAAATCAGATTTGACCATCACACCAAACTTAAACAAATCCAACCATAACATTTTGTCTTATAAAAAACATCGTTATTATTGCCTTGCAGAACATAAAGAAATAACAATGACATCTTATAACTATAGATAATAGTAATAGTAGTAGTAGTAATAGTAGTAGTATTATTAGTAATAATAATAATAATAATAATAATAATAATAATAATCAATAATAACAGGGTGTAACACCTTGCTTTTCCCTCCAATCACAGATTTAATGAGTCACATCCATTAAACAATAAGAGTTACATTAGTAATTAAGAATTAGCTATAACAATAATAATAGTATAGGGATAACGTACACATATACTCTTGTAGTATGGGTGTCAGACAAAGATATCTTTGTTACTTATAAATTTAACCATGTACTCTATTTGCGTACCATCTTATTGACATACTTGTATAGTTGTATGTGTAACAAAGCATATACAATAGATGCACTAATGTGGTGTGGTGCGCAACTTAAAAGGTAGTAAAAGGCGCAGACATGGAGCACCAACTTAACAAAACTGCTTAAGACACAAAGTGTACACCATATAAAAGCTCAAAAAAATCCCATCCCCCACTCTCCCTTCTCAAAAATCCATTCGAAAATTCTAAAAAAAATATGGGATGATCATCTTATCTTCTTCATCTTCCTCTTCCCGTTTTCATCCTCCTTTTCTCTACCTTTTTATATCAATTTTTTTCCAATTATTGGCACAAAATCAGTTTATTTATCTTATTTCATCTATTTTTTATTATCTTTCTATTTTTTGTTTAAATTACATGTATATTGATCAAACATACAACAACATCATTCATTTGGATGTATATAGACAATTAATTTTTTTGTTCACCCAGACAAACAAATTTGATTACACGGACAACTAAAGTTGATCACACAGACAACTATTGTCTGTGAGCCGCACTACTATTGT